ACATGTAAAGTGACGGCACTTTCACCTCTCCATAAGCACTCTTTTAAGCCCTTAGACTAAAGATGTTTGAATGGCCTTAAAAGAACTCCCTCCCTTGTTGGTCCTGATTAGGAATCCCACACGGGTTGGGTACCATGTCTTCATCCTAGTTACTCAGGTTTCGAGGATGCACCATGTGGAGGTAAGAGTAGGATTTGAGAACATTCGCGAGACGACTGTTCCCCTTATGAACCTGTTCCTTAAGATTGTTATCCAGTTGCAATAAAAATGCGTTTCATTTTAATATGTCAGTGCCGAGATCTCATTCAACAAAAATTTTTGTACTAGCCCGTTTTGGTCCATTTTTATTATGACGGTATTATCAATTGTATATTTCAAATACATAAATAATTTTTTAATGTTAGCGTTGCTAATAGTATATAACACATCAGTCAATAATACGGGTGACTAAATAAGAAAAACAAATTTTTTCTGCCAAAAATCGATTTTACTCATCAATCTAATCTCCTTCAAGGGCAATACAATCTTTCCAACGCTTCTCTTACTTCTCAATGATGTGCTTGTAAAAGGATTTGTCTTTTACCTCAAAATAAGCTTCAGTTGCAGCAATTACTTCTTCATTTGAGATGAATTTCTTACTGGCGAGCATTTTTTCGTGATTAGCGAATAGCCAGTAGCGACTGCTGGGGCCGGATCTGGACTATACGGTGGATGAGGAAGCAATTCAAAGGGTAATTCGTGCATTTTTGCCATCGTTTTTATCGACTTCTGACATGGTGCATTGCCTTGATGAAATTTTTTTCTTCGCCATATGCGGTCGTTTTTTCATAATTTCTGCTTTCAAACGATCCAGTAATGCCGTGTAGTAGTTACTATTGATGTAAACATGGCCAAACACTGCTCTGAATCATCAACACGTTGTTATTTTTGATCGACTGTGAGTAAATGCGGCACATACTTTGAAAAGAGCTTTCTCATGGTCAAATGTTTATGCAGAATTGTAAACACACTGCCTTTTGATATCTTTACAGCCTCAGCTATCTAATGCAATTTCAATTTACGATCAGATATAACCAATTTCTGGACTTTTTTGATGTTTTCTGGAGTACCCACCTATATTGGACGACCAGAACGTTCATCGTCATTAGTGTCTGTACGACCACGTTTAAATTCAGCAAAACCAATAACAAATGGTTCTTTTCGATAGAGCAGAGTCCGGATAACACTTTTGAAGCCATTGCTGAGCTTGTATAGTATTTTTTTCATCAATAATGAATAAATTATAAATAAATGATAAATTAACACACAAAATTGTTTTGAATCCATTGTTTTGAAAATAACAAAAGTAGCTTTACTTAAATGGCTGTCACTTTTTTCTGACTTCTCAAAATGTCATAAAGTTTTACACATAGTCTTTTGAAGGTTGCTACTCCATAAACGTCATATGGATTTGACAATGGCAGCGCCATTGACTTATTGACTGATGTATTAGTAGTATTGTCGAAGGCGTACGATCTTAAGGAACTTTACTGCCATTATGTCTATTTCTTTCATGATATCACGTAAACAAAGATCCGGGTCAATACTGCATACGTTTCTCATGGTGGTGCACGAGTGTTAAGAGAGTGTTCGGAATGCTTTTTGGGCTTATCAACGGTGTTCATTTATACTCTCTCAAGGTTAACTAACTGTTTTTTCATTTAATGGGTAGATTATTTGTTAGCAGATTGTTTAGTTTTGCCTGAAAGTATACTTCGTTTATTTGAAAAAGTTACTTAGGTTGGTAGTTAGAACAGTTGAAATAATTTATGTTAATAATTTAGATCTGTGTTGTACGAGTCTATTAGATCAGTCGGGTATAAATAACTGCATCAAATAACTTTTAAAACAAGTTCTAGTAGACTTGCAAAAGTGGATAAGGAAGAATTATTGATTTAACACAAATTTTTGGAACAAAAAAACAGCTTGAGAAGCAATAGATAGTCTTTGTACCATAATATTCAAAAGTGGTTTACAGATTTGTAGTGATATGAGCGGGAGAGATGCTAAGCACCTAGAAAGTCAAATCGAGGTCCTCATTACAACTTAGAGTATGGAGCATACAATTCATAAAGTTGTGAAAATAAATCAAATAAAAATGTGCGATATTCCTAAAACAATAAAAATTGTGATAATTGTATCATATGCTCATTCACAGTGATACTTGTATCTATATTCGTGTTATAAAATTGTATTATTATAATTATATATACATAACATAACCACCTCAAAAAAGTAACAATAAAATATATTCCCTAATCCCATCGAAAAATCTAACTGGTTATGTTGCAGTTATCTAATTATTTATTAGATACATATATACATATATAAATATATACATATATAAATAATAATAAAATATATTGCATTCATCATATATATAAAAAATAATTAAATATGTAAAATTTTTACTTTTTCCAATAGTGTTTCATCACTATAATAAAAATTAAAATATTTTGTTTTTTTTGCAAAAATAGTTTTCATAGTTTTTATCATGTAAACATTTTGAAACATCATCGCAGCTTAAATTGTACATATTCTCCAATGACCATGGGTTATATCATTCTAATGAGATGGGGTTCCTTAATTCAGATATTGACGTTTCAGTATCCTTTTTGTATACATTTTTTTAATACTTGAAGATATATCTTTATCAAAATCATAATCGTCAGTACTCATCACAGTTTTCTATGATTTATATCTATTGGACTTATTTAAGAGTTCATTTTATCTTAAAATTTAAATTTATCGCACTATTTTTATGAATAATCATTAATGTCCCAAATTTATTTGATGCAACTACGAAAGTTAATAAAGACGATAGAGTAGAGTACGATTAAATAAATCTTAAAATATTTTAATTTATATATTGAAGCAATGATGTGACTTTACAAGGTAAAAACACAAGAATATATATGTCTCCGTTATTTGATTTTAGATTTCGGTACATGGAAATTATTATAGTTGTGCATAATATAATATCAGCTCCTTTGCATCAAATACCCTGTGAAAGCAGATTAAGAATATAGATCAAATTTTTAAAAAAAATGACATTTTAAAGTTGAGATTAGCTTTTTTCACTATTTCGAACCTCCTCTATAAACTGGTTCACCATTTTTGTTCACTTTTTTGGATATTTATGTGTATAGGGAAGCGTCTACTCTTTTTAATTTTGATTTTGAGGTCCCATTGAATTTGGTAGTAAATTACGTGTCATATGTCAACGTTGGTCATAAACTACCTTTTTTTTTATAAAAAGATCTTATTTTCCAAGTATAGAGATAGTTCCTTACTTAATAATCAAAACGCGCTACGAGATTGAATTCCTAAGAATATATTGTTAGGTATTTGGTTGCTTCAATTATTAGCTTTCCACTTTTAATAGGAATTTTATTATTTAAAAACAATAAGCTATCTATGACTGTTGAATGTTCTAAGCAGGTCTTATATAATGTAGAGCCACAGGTAGAAAACACATTTAGATTTAAGCTTCATCCTCGTTTATATAATTCACGTTCCTTAGTTATGATAAAGTAAGATCTCTATATATATTATGAATTGTAATTGCCTACCGTTTAGATATGACTGATCATAGTTGAAAAATAATTAATGAGCTTTCTTCCTTATGTTATGTTTTGATTGACTATATGCAGCAGATGGAAGAAGGGGTGCAACTAAGTCTACACAACATTTGTGGGTAAGGGTGGGACTTCGCTTGGGTTATAGTATTTACATTTGTAATGTTTTATCAATATGCGTTTATTGATGAAACCATTGAAAGAATTCCGTAAAAACTTTTTGATAAAATGTGTTTCTGAGATTAGCAAAACATCTACATTATATTTTAACGGAAATGATTTCCATTTAGATGAATAGTCTGACAGTCTGCTGGATACGAAATTTGTTTAGAGATGAGACCTACTAGTAAATTGCACATAGCAGTAATTCGATTCAACACATCCCTCGATAACTTTATCATTGCTCTCGTCTAGCAGATAATTGCATCGCCTTTTCGACCTTTTTAATTATATATGTACGTTTTGACGATCGTTTCTTGCTTTTGTTGTTGATGTGGAAGAAATATTGTTTCAGTTTTACCTTACAAAATTTTGTTTCTCATTAGCTTAAATGATACCTTTCTTCACAAAGAATAAACATAATATCATTTCATTTTTCTTTTATATCATAGTCGGGCGAGGCGTGATCAATAACACGCTGGACACATTCTGGCTGTTTTCGATCGCCTGATTTGAGATTTGAAGCATTGTGGTAGATCTCGTTTACCTCAAACGTATTCCCTAACAAACTTGATCGTAGAGTAGGTTTTCCATGTCACAAATGTCTATTGTTCGGCTTTGGTGCCAACTCTACAACGAACATGTATGTCGTAATAGTCAAAACAAACTTGTTTCGTGTGGGTGTAGTTACTGTGTGAAATTTTTTCGATATGCACAGAGAATCTCATTTTAAACTACTGCATTTGTGAGTAAAAACAGTTGAGAAAGTTGAAAGGATTGCACAGAATTCTGAAGAGTGCGGAGCACAGCGGAAGCATTAAAGTGATGAAATATTCATAAATCTCAAATCATTCCCTAAGAGCAGTGATACACGGTGTGTAATATGTGTGTAATATGTGTGTAATATATCAACGATCAATCTTTTTTCTATATTCTATCTATAAGAGTGCGCCTATCGCTTCCAACTGCGAAATTGTAATTGCTGTTGAGATTGCAGGCAAGCTTTTGTTTGGCTTTACCTCATTTGCATCGCAAAACAGCTGAGTGTAAGGTGGTTTTTAAACAAACAGAAACTTTATAAATGTTTACATGTTTGTTTAATAACAAAGAAAATATGCTGCTTGCGCCTGCTCACTCGGTCATACGAATGCCCCGTTTCGAGCTCCCACCGCTTCGTCGAACTAGTACCACCTTTGCTTCTATTTGCAGCATAAGTTGCACACAAAGTTTGCTTCTCTCGAGCTTGTTCAGGCGGCAGTCGGCTGCAGAATATTAGTTTTGAGTTGGCTATCAACGCGAGCGGGTCATTCTTTTTGCAAGCGTGAATCGTACGAATTTCTTTTTTATTATCTATATATGTATTTGCATATAGTATACACATATAATATATGTTATAATATATATTGTATCTGTCTACATAAACATATAAAAATAAATATATGTAGTATATATTCTTGGCTATAAAAAGATTAATCACAGAAGCTTATTTTTAAAAAATGTGTTATACAACTTTTTCTAATTTGCCTAAAATTTAATTAATATTTTGTAGTAAAATTTTTTTTAATACTGACGGTTTTTCGCAAATGTTTGCATACGATTTTTTATCTTCAAGATTTAAATAAAATATTTTGTGTTGAAATGCGATAAAAACATTACATTTAATATATTTACGCCAGACTATAAATGAAAAAGAAAGAAATTAATGTTAAAATAGTTTTCTTAAATATAGTGTTTTGTTTTCAATATAGGTTGTTTCAAATTAGTAATAATTGAGTCTAATTAAAAGTTTAATTAATAAAATCTAGTCAAAATTTTGACTATTTTGATAAATACCCATTTCATTTTTAATTTAAAGTCTTCATGAGTAGTTAAAAAACTTAACGAGGATCAAATTGCGGGCAGCAATTTTAATTAAAACATATTTATAGCGCTTAGATAAAAATAAAAAAAATATAAAATGATGATGGAGAACGGACTCTCCATGGAATATGGAGATGGCTATATGGAGCAAGAAGAAGAATGGGAGCGTGAGGGGCTATTAGATCCTGCCTGGGAAAAACAACAGAAGAAGGTGAGTTCACGAAACATAATACTATATATTTTAAGTTGCGAACGGATATTATTATTATTTATTTTCATTTCAATTAAATGTATTACAAGAAAAACGCTCACATAAATAAATCATTACCGTTTTAAATATAACAAATACACTATACATATAGATCATATACATATTTACTTCGGATATAGTCGGTTGTCAGTTTCTTGCGAACAAAATATGAATATATTTTTATTAGAACTATTTATGTTCGTTATGTACGGGCCATTACCGAACCATATAAAAGTCAAAAATATAAAACTTACTAAAATTTTTTATACGTAGAGCTATTCTAATATAATGAATATAGCTAAGATGTGCATTTGTTTTTTAATATTTATTTATTTTTATCATCAAATATTTTCTAATTTTTAATTCCGATGCTATTTTGACATAAGAGGGGAAAAGCTTTTACTTTTAAAAATAGATTTATTTTCAATGACACGTTTATTTTACTTTAATGTCGTCAGAGTCGAATTTAAATTTAATAATTATTTTTAATATTTATCTTATATATATATATATATATATATAGTGTTGATGAAGTTTGGAAGATCGGAATAACATAATGAATGATTAAATAATTTTTATGTAATAAATAATAATTTCAGAATATTGCTACTGGCTGTTTTAGCAGCGATTTTAAATTATTTTTTATATAATCTTTTTATAATAAATACAGATTGACGCAGTCAACTGCAATTCTAAAATTTTTCTATTTGGGGATAGAGAACTTTGTTTGTTAATAGTCGCCCACCTTACCAACATGCGATTTTATTCTTTCATAGTGCGACCAGAGGAGTTATCTTGCTTTGATTTAAAATGCAATTTTAAGACTTACTTCCTATAAAACCAAATATTTCATTTTATTTTTTGCATAATGACAGACTGTCAAATAAATATTTGCAAAATGTTTATCTGCATACATACCTTAACATATATTTGATTTATCAAATTAAAATAACTGCTGAAACCCAAAGTAAGAAAAGCTTATGTAGCATACATACCCACTTTATTTACTGTGATTGAAGTGATATTTTTTTGTAACGCAACTTCAATGTTCAAAATAAAATTTAAATGTTGCAGGTATATGTTACTATATATGTTATAAAAAACAACTTGTGATTATCCTAAAGTAGTTGTTGTAGTTGTAATATTGGAGTTCGCACTCTTTTGTAGATCTTCACAATAGTTGACTTTGATAAACGAACGTAGAACGAAGCAAGTTTTTGAGGTTTTATACTACAAGTCAATAAATCTGTTGGCCTGTGTTTTAAGAAAATTTGAAAAAAAAATTATTATTGAAAACTACGAACTAATTACTTAAAAAATACTTATGCGTTTAAAAAGATGTGAGGCTTGAAAGTACGTATATGTAGTTATAATGAATTATTTGTTTTATGATTAAGTATTCTTATTTCACTGATAGATATTAAATGGAACTGTAATCCAAGAAATCATACGCTTAGTTTAACACTTACCGTAGAACATACGCTGATAGGGTACTCGAACGACAGTCTGGATTACGATTCTTCACATTGGCTTTTTAGTGATGACGCTCGTTTCTCGCTTAATTCATATATATCAACAAACAAAATTGGCTCATTTGGGAAAGTGAAAATCAACACATAACTATTGAAGACTATTATCCATCCATTAAAAGCTATTGTATGGTTGGGCAATGACATGGCGAAGGTATGACACAAACCATCAATTCTCATTGCAACAGCCACTTGAGTACCACAATACGTCCTCTTGTGGTTGTTACGCGAATAATATTCCGAACGGGTCATTCCACATTTCAAGATCTCCAAGATCCTGTATTTTAAGATATTCTGTGACTCTATTTGACCCTATATAAAGTCCAAATAATAACTTGTAAAAATTTTATCGAAATCTAAATCTCTGCTTTATTTATTTTTACATTTGGAACAACAGAATAGGTAACCATGTCTATCTGCAAAAATACTTGAATGGAGGAACAAAACATATATGCTGAAGATTTGTTAATGAAAGAATTTAACGTTTTTCAAAATAATTGAATTTGACATTTGTATAATAATCATTATAATAATTATAAATTCTTCATTTATTACTTACTGCAAATAGGCATTGGTGATTTATGGTTGTAGATCTACAGTCTGTATACTTAATGTCAGTCTGTTTCAACTTGTGTCTCAATATGATTTCTTTATTGTTTTTGCGAAAGTTTTTATTCAACAGCTCGTATAGATCGTGCTCTTTTTCTAAAGAACGTGACTAATATGTCTAACTGGGACTATATTCTCTGGTACCAACTGTCCGAAAATGTTTATTTTTTTTAAATCTGTAATATCTGAACTGAATTATCTGAGGCAATATGTTTTCTGATAACCTATGGTACACACAACACTTTTATTATAAATTTTTTTATGATGAAAGTTAATAATAAATGTGTAGGAATTAGAATCTACAATTCACAAGTTGTAAATCTATTATTACAAATGATTTTCATAATAAATTTACTATTACTAAATATGATGCTTATTTTTTGAAATCTTTCGGATATTTGAATTTTAATTTCCTTGCCTAAAACATAAAACTATTATTTAAATAATTGGTGTTTTATTGGCACTATCCTGACTTCACTTAGTCTAATTATATATAGGCGGCCCATGTATATAAATGGTTGTCTGATTTCATACTATAAATATTAGAAATATTATTGTTAAATTACTGCTTCACGTGTGTTAAAGAGCTCTGAATTATAACTGAAGTATATAATGTTATTTATATAAGATATTTTAGATATGCCTTTAAAATGTAGATTACCTAGTTACTTAAATGTGAAGTAAAGGTTATAGTTTTTGATTGAAATTAATTGCTTAGTTTTCCTCTTGTTATTGTACGTTTACATTAAATTATAAATTATTACAATTCTAGCGATTTCAGACTCATATTTAATACTTTTTGTAAGATATCGATCGGTGATCAATATACTGCGTATTATTTTGTTTAATGTTGAACCTTTTCCGAGTTAGTGTGTACATATTTGTACTACATCACACAAAGCGGAGAGAATTGGTTTAACATGGTTTTTGCCTTGCAGTTTATGGCATGATACATAAAATAGGCTGTTCCACAGGAGTAGACGCGCTCGTGAATAAGTAGAATAATGGAGAAAATTATATTAAAAAAGATTTTAGTTGATAAAGAGAATATGATGCTTCAGTGTGAAATAATTCCACAAAGTTTTATCTCAATATATACAGATTTGAAAGTATGTAGCTACCATTATAGATGTACATTTCAGATACAAGATCGTGAAACTGCAAATAATTCTTTTCTATATTATTTTTCAAAATAACACAACATGGTAAAGTTTTAGCATATGTGATATAAATTTCAGATTTTCATGTTTGTTATTTGACTAATATTATTATTTAGATACAAAATGAAATTTATTAAAGAATTTCTATAAGCTGTGCTCATACTGTTCATAGAAACATAATTGGTTTCTGGATAAACGAACCTATTATCAGTGCATTAGCTTTATTAAATTTTAGTTTTTAATAGTATTAACAATAAACCAAAATTACTATTAATTATGGAAACGACTTTGCCAATCTAACATTTTGTATTGACGTCTGTTTTTTATTATTAATAAAATATTAATAGGGATTTTTGTTTAGAATGATTGGGAAAAAGTGAAATTCGTCTGAAATTAATAAAATGCTTTACCAAATCTAAACCCTTTAAATAATCAAATTAGGATGGCAGACGATAATTGAAAAATATGGTTTGATGAGTTTTCCTGACAATAAATTTAAAAAATTAAAAATTGAAAATTTAAAAAATTAAAAAATTAAAAATTTAAAAAATTAAAAAATCGCCCATTGCTTCACAACAAAATTATTTGAATTTTGCGAAAACTCAAACTCTGACGACTAAGCATCAAATTACACTCGCCCAAAAATGGCCGGCCGTTCGAAGTGTGCTTTAGCCTGAGCTTTAAGCTCACCTACCACAAAAGCTAAACATCTGCAAAGCACAAAATTATTTTGAAATATAATGTATATTTATTTGATTGTTTTGCGCATGCGCACATAAATTGCCTACGTTTGCATTTATGTTGAAAGCAGAATTGCTTCAGTTTTCCTTAATATATCACAAATAAATTGCGTCTATGTATTTGCGCTCATACACACACACAGACACACACAAACACATATATATATATATATATATATTCCGAGTTGGGGGTATGTGTTGGTGTTTGTGTTCGCTACTATTCGCTAATCATAAAAAGTTTCTTATAGATGAACGCTTGCAAGCTATTTGCATGTGAAATAGGTACCATTCTGCATGGATAGTCGCTCTGCATACGACCACACCGTTTCGAAAATAAAAAAATGGTTAAAAATAATTTTTGCTTCTCTTTTGTGGGTTCTTGAAAACTTATTTATTTCAATTAATTTTTGATTATATACAATTTATTTGAACTTTAAAATTTATTGATTTAATAAATAATTAAAGAAGCTCGTCTCTTTTCACATCATAGTTCACATCATATATTTAAGAGAATTCTAAATTCTAAATTCTAAATTTGTTTACATAAGGAATTTGGCCAGAAAGTACAGAAAAGTGAGGTTGCTTTTAATGTTCATGTGAGAATAATTCTAAACTATTTTTAGATCTTTCTGGATCAACTGAGTAAACAATGATATTAGTCACTGTCGGATTTTTATCTAAAAATAATATCAATTGTATTTGTTTTTTTTTTTAGCTTATAAAAGTGGAAATAAACTCAAAATTTAGCAAAGAAATCGGCATTAAAGTTCATTTTTTATTGTATCTTCCGTTTTTATTTTTTAGAAAAATTTATGTTATTGTATAATACAATACGTTAACCAGCATCTTTTGAAATATTAAGGATATGCTTTTTATCTAGTTTGGTTTTCAACAAATTACAGTTAAAAAGCAAAATAATGTAT